TCACACAGATGATGATGATGAACAACTGGTCTGCAGCATGCAACCAAATTAATGATTATGCCAGGAAATGTTAACTAGTTACTTTCTCCTGGTGGAGTCAGTGTGCATTTGGCTCACATAAAGATGAGAAAGAAGCATAATTATCTCGCTTTTTATAAAGTTAAACATCTGCCCGTTTCAAACACTACGTAGCCCTATTTAGAGGACACTGTGTAGAGTTCCTATCATTTTACATTATGTACTGGATATGGTTGCATCAATATAACACCTAAACTAGAGATTTAGACCTCAGCTTAGTTTATGCACCACTGACCTCATACCACTTATGCTCCAGGACCCCAAGGTCCTCAAAGGCCCTATATTCATGGTGTGATGACAGACACACAAACTAACCTGCAGTAGACCTGGGAGTAAGTAAACTTCCACGGGAGGAGTGCTGGTTGGTTCCTGGGTCCCTAAGAAAAATATAATGAAGCTGTCATGTGCTGTGTAAACTGTTCTTTTATGTATAGACCTACTTGACAGTGACAGGACATGTTGTACAAGATGTGCAAAGAACACAGTGCCCACAACAACCTCTTTGCCTCAGTGCCTGCATGCATTCATGTTTTATGTAACCTCAGCAACATTCAAATGTTTTGACTATGCAATGAGTCAAATCCATTTATCCAGAGAAAGCACAGAGCAGGCAAAGCTCAAAACAAACCAAGCCAGCTGAGACATCTGTACAGTATCTGTACGCTGATCTGTGTTGTAGCAGTCAATAAGAAGTCAGAGATAGTGAACAATTTAAAATTATGTTACATACACTGTTTAATATAGAGAGTACTCTGCTTACATCAAATATTTTCACAGGTAGAGTCAGGAGTCAACTTCCTTACAGTACAAACCTTGATAAGCACATATAAGAACGAAAGAAATTATAGATCAAACACACCCTCCAAGTGCTATTATTACAAAATTGTGAAACACACCTTAGCAAAATGTGGTAGACTCCAACTAAGTTGCATAATTTCGATATGATGGATTGCAGAGCATAATCCGACATCACTATTTGGGTGTAACTTAATGGTAATATGTAAAACAAGTGTTTATAACAAATCACCTTGATACATGTACAAATGACAAGACATCTAAAATGAAAAGTGTTTCACTTAAGTTTCTTTCACAAGGCACATCAGTTAGTATGAGCTACTTAGGAGGAATTCATATCAATGGTCTTCAGACATTTTAAAATATTAGCTATGGTTGCCAGAAAAAATGGCCACTTGTGTTTAATCATAACCTGTGCTTCATCTCTGAATTCTGCTCATTTCCTTGACGACCTAGAAGTGTGCAATTCGTATATCACAAAAAAAGTACTGTGCACAACAAAAACACAAGACATATACTGTGTGCAGTGTTTAGAGATACAGCAGCCTCTTGAAAGAATAGGTTTTGTTAGTTTGCTGTAAAAACCAAAGCAATTATTTTTGGCTATTTGGCTTCAAAGTGTACCTAAGGCCTCTTTATTACATTTTACAAGTTTTTATCTTTACTTGTTGCAGGATGACATTGTAGTTATTTGTTTAATTGATTAAACTAGTCCTTAAACTCAGATATGCATTGCTTACAACTGTACTTTCAAAGATCAAGGCAGAATTTCTTTGGCAGAACACTGAAGAAAATAAAGATAGTTACAACTGCACTACAATATGTAAAAAAAAGGAACAGTGTTTGTCTTTCACTTGTTATAATACAGAGCTGTGTAAACAGACAAAACCACTGAATATATTTAGTGTGTGCTGAATGTAGGCCCATATTGTACTTGTAACAACTCCACAAGTTCATGTGGCTTAACCTAGCAAAGGTGACTGAATGATAATTATCAGTACAAAGACATACAAATGTTGAGAAAATCTTATTTAAATTCAACTTAATGTGATTTCTGTCAAGACAAACACAATGAACCTTAAATTATATGAAATCCAAACTCTAATCAAAATATATATATTCCTGGGATATGTCAAAATAAGCTTTAAAACACATTTTTACACACTTTAGGGGGAAAAAAACATTCCCAGTAAGATTCTAACCCATAATTCACACTGATAGTCCCTTTTTTTTTTACATTCTACCAGACCAGCAACTGTTAGACAGGACATGGGACTAATAGAGAAACTTTGCCCATATCTGGGTAATAGGCACCGATATCATAGCTGTGGTAAAGCATACATGTGTCCATTCAGTGTTCTCCTGGACAGCTGGACCTCAGCAGGTGGAAGCAGAGGAACAGTGCCCTCTTCTCTTACTGGTACCACGGGGTCTTCCTAACCCAGTGGAGGGTGAAACCTGCATCTGTCCGGATCTTAATGGAAGCTGCCTCAGCCTCCCTGACTGTCTCCTTCACAGACTGCATCAGGTTCTGAGCGTTGTGGACCAGCATCTCAGTAGCCTAGCAGATAATAAATTAGAAGAGATACAGTGATAAATCTCATTTCAACAGCTACTTTAGAAAAGTGTGATCTGACACACTCCTAAGAAAGACTGCTTACCTGCTCTGATTCCTCTTCGCTGATGTTGGTACGACCCAACATGGTGGCCTTGACTGTGGACAGGATTTTGAGCTGAGTGCTGATGGTGGGAATACGCTCACATACCTGAGACAAGATCGGAAAGCCAGGTGAGGTTAAATGTTTGAAACCAGAATAAGAAAGTACAGTCTTTCCAGAGAGAAAAGCCACTGTTTGACCTAAATATAACCAAACATACCTGAAGCAGGTTGGTTCGGATACGCTTGTCAGTACACTGCTTGGCCACCTCCTTAGCCAGTAGTGTAACTTCATCAGAAGCCTTAGCAATGTCCTTGGCGCACTGGATGAGGGCTCGCTTGTTTCCGCTGCCTCCACGCACCAGGCGCGACATCTCAGCCATGAGCAAGGCCATGCGTTTGGCTGCACCAATAATGTCATTACCCTATGAAATATAACAGGAAGAAAATCAGTGTGAAAGAATAGGATTTCAAAGTAAAAGTCCATTCCCATGTTTACTGTGCTAACTTACTTTGCTGGACCATTTGCGGGCTTCATCATGGAGTTGCTTGGCAGCCACCATAATGGGCTCATTAACCATATCACCAGCCTTCTGCTCAGGGAACTCCTCATCTTTCTCCTCTGGAGGAGGAGGCCTGGGGGGAGGAACCTCGCCCTCTGGAAGAGGAGGCTTGGGTGGTGCTGCCTCATCATTAAGCTATAAGGACAAATGAAAAGTAACGATGGTCTGGAACCATTTGAAACACTAAACCAAAATAGCTTCAATATTTCGTTGAGGTTTCATGTACCCCAACTACAGTTTGATTCTGAAAGCTTATTCTGTCTTGACAACTAACTATTAAATCAAAGGGAAAAATACCAAAAAAACATATACTGTATTTTTTTTTTAAATCTGAGGATTTACATTAAGCTGATCCATTTCAGGAGGAGGCGGTGGAAAATCTGGCTCCTGTGGCTGGAAGGCCTCCCTGACCCTTGCTACAGCACCAAGAATCTTATAACCCGAGTCCAGGAAGCCCTTCTGAAGACCTGGTGATCAAAACAAACAAATCACCACTGATCAAAATGTTCCACATGCATATAAAACATAATCTTAAAATCTGTGAGAAACATTAACCTACTTGGATCCTGGATATTTCCAGCCACAGCTTTAGCGCCCATCACCATGGGAGAAATGGTCTTGCTCAGTTCATCAGATGCAGCCTTCACTACCTCCCTAAATTTGGGATCCTCAGAGTTCTCCACCTCTCGTTTCGCCACCAATAGGATACGGTTGGCTCTGCGGGCGATGCTAGTGGCACCGGCAACCAGCATCTGAGGCTGTTGGTTGGCCATGGCCACACGGCACTTATCCAGGTCCTTCTTGATGGCCTCCTCTGAGGCATCTAGCAAAGATTTGGTATCGATGGCCTCGTCCACCAAACCTAAACACCAGTAATATGTTAATATGCTAGACTAGGAGGAGTGAAATACCCTCACCTGCCATCAGGGACTTTATGTCTATGGCATTTCACCTGTCATTTTCTCCACATTGTCAATCCACTGATTCTTCATGGTCTCAAAATGTTCATACGCTGCCTGGTTGCCAGGATTTCTCAGCAGAATGCGAGCAGCAGATACCACCTAAAAACGATCCCAGCCATAAGTGTCAGTTCCATGACAACTGCTAAATGCTTGGCTACAGAATTTAAAAAAAACAAACAGTTAAGCTCTGTGACTCATGATGCAGGGTGGAGGACAAACAGAAACAGAAACAGATATAAACACTAAATGGTGACATACTTGTGGTGTTATGTCTCTTGTTGACTTGACAGCAGCCTGGATTCCCTCCACTGTGCTCTTATTGGCAGTGCCGACAGCAGCGGCCTTCTCTGCTGTAGTGCCAAGCTTATTGGCATGGTTCTCGAAGTTGGCAGCCCTTTCGTCAAAGACCTACACATAATCAAATAAAACACTTATCCAAAAGGCTTGTTAGAAAAAATACAACACCCTGCCAATAAATACAACACCGCTGTTAAGTGAGATCACAGTGAGGAGCAGAGTGACTTCACTACTGACCTCATCCCTGTTGGGGGCGTTCAAAGGGGCGGTAGCAGCCACTGCCAGTAACTTGATGGGGGTGGTGGTGTCACTGAAGATGTCAGACACCTCCTGAGTCATCGCCTCTTGCATCGTCCCTTTCAGGTCCTGAGGTGAGTAGAAACAGATGTTGCAACCAATCAGCACATTCAAGGCGGCACACTGAGATTACTAATACAAATGTGTTCTTATTAACCTTCAGTACCCTTTCATATAATACATTTTAGAATAAGGTTATGGCTGAAACTAATGATTATTACTGATTACTATATTTTAGAGAAGATTCTCACCCTGTCATGTTATCATTTATCTCATCTGAAAGTGTAAAAACCCAGAAATTTTAGCTCATTCTGTTATTTCTCAGTTTTATTGTTTCATTATTTCAAATATAGCAACTTTCAAAATACAAAAACGGCATTTTTCTACTGCACATTGCATGAATTATTGTGTTAATAATTCAAAACTTACACTTGAGTATAGTTTACTGCTATACACTTGTACATTTTACTGTTTTACCTGTGCTGAAGTATTTTTCTCCCTGTGGTAGTACTACTTGTACTTCAGAGCACTGTACATTTGCCACCACTGGTAACCAGCAGAGGGGGCTGTTTGTCTATCTCTGTGTCTCTCTCTCTCTCTCTGTGAAGCTATGGGTCGAAACAGGAATGGGACAGTTGAGTGTGAGCCGTCTTACTTTCAAGGCCTCCTGGAGCTGCTGGGTCACAGCACGTGCCTGCGGAGAGTCCCCTTTGCCACAGACAGCCAGGTCGGCCAGCTGGGCCATGAGCTGTTCCACCTGCTCACATTTACCCAGCAGCTCCTGCCTGTATGGGCCTGGCAGAGCGTTGGCCAGCCTGCGGCCCTCTGCCACCATCCCACGGATGGCTGCTTGGCCTGGACACACAAACAAATATATACACATACTCACAAAAAACAGCAGTCTGTTAGTTAACTGCTAATTAATATCTAATATTACCTTGGGGTACATCAACACTAACAAATTTAGGTAGGACTTTATTGATCCCACAATGGGGAAATTCCCATGCACTGTCATGCACTGACTGTAGATTCTGTTTGTAAAATCAGAACAAGTAACTGTGTGCACATGGGTCCATTATCTTCAAATAATTTCCAGTGAATATCGAATAACTGTTATCATGCTACCTATTAAATGGTTGTTGGGTTTATTTTACTGGCTGCTTGTATCAGCACCACAGAAAAGACATCAAAGCTCCTTCTGTATTATTTTATGTTGCGTCTTTGAAGCAAGTGTTTCCTCCATTATGTTGTGGCACCAATCATTCTTAGACCAACCAGCCTCCAGCAACATAAACATGTATGACAATGTCTAGGTTTTATGTCCAGGAGACGGGCCAAAACCAAAGATTAACACAACAGTGTTTGGAAAGTATTGTGGAATGTCAAGTGCAGTATAAACCAACATGTACACAAAGTGTCTGGTCTGAAATTTAGCCACAGGAGCAGTGGAAGGAATGTGAAGTAGTGTGAAAGAAAGAGAGAGAGAAGGAAGTAGGGGAGGATAGGAGCTGGACTCACCGACACCACTGTCATCCACGGTAGGATTGTCAATCCAGCGCTGCGCCTGCTCAATCTTTCCTTCTAAGTGAACAGCTGCCTTTGCAGGTCTACTGTTGGCCACAGCTTTGTTGGTCTTGGACTGCAGGTTTTGCAGAGCTGTAGCAATTTGCTTAGCCAAAGCTCTGGCCTCAGGAGTGTCACCTTTACCCCTAGAAGGAATTTTAAAAAACAAGGTCTGAATTTGTGTTTATGATAAAGATATGGATGAACTGATATCTGTAAATGGTTAGCTACAATCAGTCAGTTTAACTGAGAGCACATTTGCATTACCAGTTTAGGACACATCTGAAGTAGCTCAACTGAAAATGTTGTAAAATGAATATTTTCCAGCATATGTAAAAACAAACACCAATATTTTCCTAGCAACAGTGGTAAATAGTAACCCTTGGCTCATTAAAGTACTTGACAGATTTAATAAAAACATCTGAATACTGTAATCAAATCTGAACACACTAAAAGGGTTAGGGAGTCAGGGGCTAATCAAACTCAGCCTTGTACTAAAAAATAAATAAATAAACTCAGCATAAAACTGTCTCATATTTCAGACAATCAGTAACTTACTGTCTTCTAAGATCAGACAGCTTGGCAGTCATGGCTGCAATCTCTCCCATAGAGCGCAATATGTCATCTCTTTCTTTGGGATCCTCGCACATGTCTGCAATCTTTTTTGTCTCAGCGAGCAGAGCCTTGATGTTCTCCTCTCCCTCTGGGCCGCCATTAGGATCTGCCAGCCAGTTCTGCAGGAGAACACAAAAGGCACTGAAAACAGCATCATAAATTTGTACCGAGATACTTGAGTCCATGTTTGGCAAGACAAACACTTATATATGAAGGATAGTGACACACCTGTGCTGTATCAATCCCTTTGGCGATGGCCTGCTTGGAGTTAGTCATGGCCTCCAACTTGCGAGCAGCATTTTCCACCTTGCCCGTTAGCACATCAAGCCCATGGGAAACCTGCTGGGCCTTCTGCATGGCGGCTGGGGACGGCCCCTGACCTCTGTCGTGGACAAAGAAAACAAATGAATACCATAAACTAAAACATGCTATGCCTGCACACTTTTGTCGCTTGTCCTCTGATCTACATGATTGTTTCCTGCAGAGCTTAAGCCTCATGGTCCTCTTGTTTAAGAATAACACTTCCAAAATGTAAGACTCTATTTTCAGTGATGGCTCAGAGGCATCCTTCAGTTTTCAGAGGAGTAACACCACCAGGGGTTACAGAAGATTATGGATTAATAGCAGACAGCTGCTTTTAATCTAGCATGAGTCAGTGACAATCAGATTCATATCAGAGGGACATCACTTCCACTCACAACAAACCCTACAATATACTTAATGCTTTACACTATCTTTAAGGATCACAAGAAACTACTGCCTGACAGAATCATTTATCAACTAACTCCAATAATAATATAAAATGAAAATTTACATTACTATGTTATAAAGGAGTTATGGACGGTGTATAATATGAGAGGTATTATCTTGCTGTAGATGTGACACAGACAGAAACAATGTCTTTAATGATGTATACTGTACCTGGCTCTCATCTCAGACACCTGGTCAGTCATCTGGCCTATGGTCTTGGCTGTGCCCAGGATATCGCGACGCTCCTTGCCAGCACACAGTTCACTGACTTTCCCAGCTTCATCAAGGATTTGTCGGACGGCCTGCTCACCTGCGTCCCCTAGAAGCAAAAGGAAGTTACACAATGTCACTTTGCACAACTAGATTAAAAGTGTGACGATGTGATAAGTAGCAAGAAGAATAAAGTAAGATAAAGGGACATGGGTGAGTATCTTTACTACCTGGTTGGGCATTTGGATCCCTCAGCCAGTTCTTAGCTTGAGCCATCTTTGAGTTGATAAGGCCCAAAGCCCTCCGCATGGCCTCTGTGTCCTTTAGGTTGAAAGACAGAATAAATGAATAACTTAAGGGAAATCAATGAAACCAAAGAAACCTAACAAAGAAGTCGATATCCTTCATCATGCCAACTGCATGTACAGCATACGTACACGTTCTCTCCACAAATGATTACATGATTATTAGACATACTAGAATTTCAGGTTAATTTCAACATATGATGTCACATAAAGTCATGACCCCAAGAAAACTGAGCTTGGACTGTATTTTTCATCATTCACGGTTTTTCCTGTGTGAGTTATATGATCAGGAAAAGCTGCAGACTCTTGTTATTGCCATTATCACACCCACTGTATGGTTACTGCAGTAAAAGAAACATACAGCAAAGTCCATGTGCAGTGTCACTAAAATCTGTCAGGCACAACCATGTAGCACATGCTGTTTCCATGATTCTTTTCCATCATCAATATTGAGCATGATGTTATAAAAACCAAATGACTTTCCAGTGTATCTCAATCAGATTGGATGGAAATACAACAGTCTGTCCAACAGCAGCTGACCCGACAATGACGCCACTCATTGGCAAGGTCTTCAAAACAAAACAGAGTCCTGTAGGAGGTGGAGCAAAGCAGAAGCCCTGCACATATCGATGAGTGGTTAAGTGAGCTTGTTTTTTGTGGAATAATAATAGAAATTCAAAAAAACACAAGTTCCTCATAATGCAGCCTGAATCTACATCACAGAGCCCAGCAAGAATTTCAGAGCAAATACAGCCAAAGAAGAACAAACCACTTCTTATTCTACAAATGTTCCTCATACACTATGACTGAGCTGCTAGAAATATAAATGCATTGCCATTATAAAAAAGAGCAAGCATGTTTGTCTGCATAAAGGTAGGGTGGAGCAAATGAGCTACACAGGCGAAGGGAAAACAGGAAGTAGAAGATATGAGGTGCTGTCACCAGCGCCGTGTGGGTGTATTAGTTTACTGTTCAAGCCTGAGCAGCTGCTTTGTCTGTGAGTAACCACCTGAGTATGTGTGAGTGAAAAAGCCAGTAAAGTGTAAGATGGACTTATTAAGGACTCTTAAACCTTGTAATCCTATCAAACACACACATGTATTCATTACAGCCTATAATTAAACACAGAGTGGTATCACTCAAAAATCAGCCATGCATTTCAAGACTTTAGCAATAGGGATCATGTAATGTGAGAGGGCATATTCAGTGTTCATAGAAATAAAATTTGTGAACACATTAGACAAAAGTCTGTTAGAACAAAAAAATGTGCCATTCATACAGCAGAACTCCATATCAGATTTTCAGATGTGTCCTCCTTCTATGGCTGTTAAATGCAAAGAGTTCAGGAGAAACCAGACCATCCTGGCAGAGAAAAACTAACACTCTAAATAATGATACTTGAATCAATACTGAACCAGTCCGGTCAATCGGTAACCAGACAGGTTGAGGACGTGCACATAATGAGGTTTAAATTACACAGGAGGAGGGCACTCAGATGTTGATAAAATCTCATGTTATCAAGCAAAATAAATCAAAAAAAAAACTGTAATGCATAGATCAACATTTCAGCAATTGAACTCACTTAACAGTTTCAATAAACACCATTCCAATTGCAGCACATTACTCCAACTGCTAATTTACCCTATTAATAGATAGCCAACAGTTTAACCTCAGTCCTGTTACTGAAAAGCACAAAGTGGCACCACAATGCACAAGACAGCACACACATCTGTCAGACATGCTGCTGTACAACCAAGGGGCAAGAGAGAGGTCAGGCTTACCTTCTACAGGGAGTCAAGGGAGAAAGAAATGGTTAAAAAGAAAAAAAAAAAAGGAAGAACGACATAAATACAGATGTTTAACTGGACATAACAACTGAGACCAACAAAAAGTGTCAACAAACCAAAAGGTGGAGCAGGACAGAACCACTTGGAGAGTGCCAGGACAGGAAATAAGCAGAATGTGCAGAGCAGAAAAACATAAAATAACCCCAAAGGTAAATCAGCTACACAGAGACGCAGAGCAAGTTAAAGCAAGCCTACTTTAATTCCTAACCTATGTAATCTTAAAATGAAACAAGAAGCATCAATCACATCTGTAAATTCTTAAATAAAATCATCCCAATTAAACAATGTGGAAGCCTTTGGGTAAAACAAAAAACAAACAAAAACATATTTGAGAATGGAAATAATCTCATCATTAATCATTTTGCCAAAGGGAGCGTGTGAGAGCAGTGGAACAAACTATTTCTGTTAGTAGCTCTCTTTTTATTCGTATATATTTATAATAAAAATGTTTTCATGTGACAGTGATGGCCACAGACAAACTGAGGTAAAAGCATGTCTTTTACTGTACATACCTTGTTGGCCCAGGCATCTTCATCCCAAGATGTAAGCTGCAGCACTCTGATGATCTCATTTATCTCGGCGCTCATCTTCTGAAAAGTAAAGTTCCGGTTCTTCAAGGCCTCCTCCACACCTTGGCTGCCAGATGTCTTGGTCGTCACAAAGATTTTGATGCCTGAAATAAATAATTCAGTATTGCCACTCAATAATACCGATGCCCAAGTCTGTTTTTTTTTTTTTTGTTTTATTGAAAAAATTGGGAGCAAAGTGAAAGTGACACATGGAATATGGAGCGTGTGGTTACCTGAGATCAGAATGGGCAGCAGCTCTTTTACTGTATTCATGGAGTTGACCAGCATCACACGGTGCTCCTGGTGTGTTAGCTCCTGCTGTCGCTCATCTATCATCTTCGCCATCTTCGTCATTCCTTAATACAACAAACCAGCGGTGTAGAGGAACCAAGTACATTTAGTCAAATAACATATTGTATGTTCAGTGAAATTTTAAATAATGGTACTTCAGACATTTTGGAAGGTAAAACAGTACCTCTTACTCTAACATGTTCATGTAATAGCTGGAATTACTCGTTATATTATGATGGATATATAATCTTTATCAGGAGAAAAGATTACAAAATATGCTGGCTGTGAATTAGGAATCCTGTACCTCTAAAATGTAACATTTTCACAAATTCCCGATGATAATTTCAGACATCATGTAAATTACATAAAGAATCTAAAGCATGTAATCCTGTAACTGTATCAGCTGACTGACCTGGTCCCAGGTTCTTTGTGTATGTGATCAAGTCCTCCATTGACTCCACCACCTCTGCCACTGTCAGGTACTCCAGGATGCCTTTGCACACTCGGATTATTTTGCGAACCTATGATAATGTTGGCATAAAACAACAACATAAGATAATTCAAAAACAATGTTGGCATCCCAGAGAAAGTGATTATGCAAACACAGCCCCCGCCCCTTTCACATTCCTTCTAACTGCACTCTGAAAATGCTGCCTACTGACATTCCAGCTTTATTTGGACTGCTAGACCCCACTGGCTCCATCATGTCATTAAGCTGAACTGGGAAACATGACGACATCAATGACTGATGACTCCTGCTGAGTCTTGCTGACTGCTGCAGACAGTGCTGGGATGCCTGGTGTGTGCTCAGAGCTGACCTGCAACTTTTTTATTATTACTCTCTATCCCCTGAGAGAATAAGAAGGACAGGCCAGATGGATAGACAGAGAGATACTCCTACCTGTTTAAAGATTTAAGAAGTGTTTGTGAAAAAAATATGGAGAGAATTCCAAAGGTATGTCTGCTAAATTTATCTACCTACCTCCCTGACTTCTTCATAAATATTATAGCACCCAAGAAGAAAGTAGGATTGGATACTGTACTTGTGATAGCAGGCCTCTACCATGCTCAAGTGTCAAAGACCAGCTTGAAGGAGCTTAACTTAAATTCAAATATACAATATCCCATGTAAAAATATGTAATGCTGAAATTTAGTGCAATGCAGTTCGTCTCTGCATGGTCAGGCTGTATATTTTATTTGCCATGTTTAGCTCATATTTGACTCCCTTGATGGTGCATCTGACTTTTATGCAGAAGCTGCGATTCCTGGCCTTTCATTTTTGCATCAGGTTGCACTTTATTTATTAGCTTATTAAAAATACTGCCTTTTGCTATTTTTTACTTTTATTGTGTTTATAATTACCAAAGCACATTTTCATGTGAGAAATCATCTGTAAACATGTGACCACTACAAGTGGGAGGAGAGATGGGGACAAATCAGAGCACATGTAAGCACACACCATTTTGCTCTAATGTTTTATTAACGCACTGGGATAACTCAAAAGCACAAGAGGCAGAAAAACCAGTTCGTCCACTGATATATCTAACAGTGCCACTGGATAAATACATCATTCCTGTATCACTATCTGCACTCTGACCTCCATGTTTAGCAAACAGGCTTCTCCTAGTTAGTTTTTCCAAATAAAATTAAGAATGAATGAATGAATACCTCGGCCTCATCGAAGGTCAGAAGTAGGTCAGAGGTCCCAGAAAGGATGCCCCGGGAACCATCGATGAGGTAGTCCCGAGCAGGAACAGAGTATGGATCAGCTTTCAGCATGGAGGCAGCCTGCACCAGCTTAGTGCATGCATTCTCCACTCTGTGGAATACAGAAGACAACGGATTTGAAGACCAGCAACAAAAAAAAAAAAATCCTGAAAACAAGCTATGCTAATGACACAAAGCCCGTCGGAAGCCAGATGGACACCACACATGGAAACAGCATACTGCCTGCAGCAAAAACAGGCGGAAGCTTGGGAACACCACTAGCCTAAACATTCAGTAGCTGCTGTCTCAACATGACTGTTTAGTCTTCGTTCATGCTTCTCAACACATTTTAAGCAAATACTGCTGCAAAAACCATTTCATTTTTTTTCATTTTCTCTAAGTGAGCAGGATATGAGGAGAGCAAAGTGGGAGCAGATTAAACATAATATAAATGAGAAGTCCAGTGAGGGAAACTTGTGACTGTGAGGCACATAAATAAAATCTGGCCTGACTGACTTATCTCACAGGATGTGATCTGTACTTCATGAGGTGGAGCTGACATCAGCCTAATTTAACTACAGCAGAAGCTGCAGGCTCAGTGTGATTTAGCATCATACATGCCACAAGCATAGTATCGTAACAGCCATTTTGCACAGGGAAACTGGGAACAAGCCTGCATAGAACAATGATTGACACATATTCTAGTTCTGACAGTGTAACAGCTTAAAAGTTTTACCTACAGGCCAAATGTTGCTGCCGTCAGACGGTAACATTATTGCTATTATCCACATTTTTAGGCATTGCAAAGGGGCCAAACAAGAGTAGCTTAGTTTCCATTCTTCTAAAAGGATCACATCTCCTGAAGCATAAGGGCTAATGTATGTGCATGACATCAAGGCTAATATGGGGGGTGTCATGGAAGAGCCAGCCAGCAGTGTCCTTCAACGTGCACTAGCAACAAACACCATGCATTAACTAGACCCCCACAGACTATATTTGGTGAAGGAGATGTATTTCAGTACATGTGCTGATGGATGACAACAGAGTGACAATGTGACCTCTCACGTGTGTGTGTGGTCTCCCATATAGTAACAATTAGTCAAAGACTGATATGGACAGGAATCATACGAGCATAAGATAATGGTTTGGCTGATCTGGGGACAGGCAGGGAAATAAATACCGTGAATGAACATGTACTGCATGTGTCTTTCTCTCCCAACATCAATACATAAACTTTCTTTGTGGTTGCGTTTCATGTTTCAACATAAATGAAAAGCAGCAGCAGACAGTGACTCATCTATGAGGACATGTATGTGTTTGCAGCCTTCAGGGTAACGGACTTCCTCCCTGGGCAATAATGTATTCATGTTTCACCAGGGCAAGACACTGAGGCACTTAACATGCCATGTCTGACCTTTGCTTGGGCACAACCAGCAGTTACTGCAACAGATAAACAGAGAAAAAAAGAGCCAAAGAGAGGCTAGTGGGTTCCACATACTGGAGAGGGACAATTACTTCATCTAAATCCATTTGACAGGTTTGTCACTATATGAAGTTGAGGTGTGCAAACTGAGCTTATAGGACATACTTGATAAAAGCTGGTTGCATGTCCCTTTTCATAATCTGGTCTTCAGTGGTTTGTACAGTCTCCTTCCCCACCTGGAAAACACAGAGTAAACATCAATCAACTATGATTTAATAGAACAAGACATTTCAAAGAAAAAAAAGGCCAGGTACAATCAATAAGACACAGCACGAGTTAATTAATGGAGTACATGTAACTGTCATTCTTTTTGTTTCATCTTAATCAGGTGCTGCATATCATAACGAATTGCCCAGCCCAGACAGGTGACAGCACTTTAGCTATGTTTATGTTATTGATGATAATGCTGGCTGAACACATAGATGAATCAGACTTTTAATCATCTCTAATACACAAAAATTTTTTAAGTCTTATTGCTTTGATTGCTTCATCACAGAACTGTCTGCTGACAAAAATGTCATAACGCTGCCACACAAAATACTTTTTTTGTTGGTTTAGTAGGGGCAGTTACAACTCATACAGATCTAAATCAATCAAGCATAGAGAAACAACATTGCTTCACACTTCCTCTTCTGATTATAATTCAGTCATGAGCTAGTTTGACTACCAACAAACTTTTAAAACACAGATTCTGATTTATTTTCTATTGTCCGTGGTATAAAAGTGATATGCAATTGTTAACATGGCAGTACAGGAGGCTATGTAAGTTAGAGCTGCTCCCTAATACACACAAAATCAAGTTTTGACATGACCTAACTAAAACTACAACCTAGGTGCCAAATGCTGTAAGCAAGCTACTTTTAACAAGCACCAAGTCAGATTCTCCACAGCATCACACAGAAGGGGCTAAAACCAAGCAGACAAGAACATCTTGGTTCTGTATTTAATAAGCCGTTGCCATCTTCCTTTCACTCCTCTGGTCAAAGCCTCTTCTTGCTGTCTGAAGTTCAAAAACAGTCCAAACAGTGATCCAAAGAATTTGCTACAAAAATAGAACTGTAACCCAAGTTTGTAACAGTTGTTGTCAAGCAGTTTGTGATGCCTGGCTTTCATCTCTATTTTGAGCCGCTGTCATGGTTTTGGACCAAATTCCAACACTGATCAAGGCTTGACATCAGAACTGCAGCTTGATTTCTTTTTAATTATTGAATCATCTGTTAGGTACTTTTGGCTTAAATGGGTAGTTTACATCATCTTAGAAAGTTCTGAAAATGTCCATCTGTTGCTGTAGACCCCATGATGACATCTTAAAATTGCATGTTTTCTCTGACCAAGAGCCCAAACACAAAGATATCCAACAAACAATGGTATAAAAAACTTAAGAATTATGATATTAGAGAATGTGAAAATAGCTAATATTTGCTGTTGTTGAATGATAAATGACTTTACCTCAAACAATCATCAAAACTGTAAAATACTCTTCTGTTATTGAATAGAATGTATTTTTGGCATTTGCTTTTGCTTGATGATGACGACATGTGGGTGTCAAGTTTCAGTTCATTATTAATCAGAGATGAGACAAACCACAACAGAAATATTTCATGCCTTAAATAGGTTGTAGCAAATCTCTTTAAGCTGTCCACATCCAACCTTTCATGAATTCAGCGCGTCATCTTCTTCCAAGCTGCCACATACCACGCTACTGGCTGACTGTCATTTACCATTTGTGTCTGGAGTGGAAACACTGGCACTCCTTTTACCATCCAAGAGCACTGTGTGGAAACCCTGTGTTGTGAAGTAGCTTGATAAAGTGGCTGTTCCTTTAGCACAGACTCGGCTTTGTTGACAACCCGTCGCTCTGTTGGGAGAAGAAAGGGCACTTTGAAAGCCTTAAGGCTGCCAAGACAGCCTGCCTTTCACATGTTGGCTAGTTTTAGCACAGTGCTGCATTTGTTGTGGTGATCACAAAGATCTATGATGGCAAAATTCTGGCAAGCGATGCCACTACTGCCCTTAGCAATGTCCTACAAATAAACTATATGTACATTCTGCATAGAAGTATAGCTTCTCAAAGTGCAACTTGGACACCGATTCCAAGTGTAAGTGACTTTGCACTGGGATCTGATATGACACACACACACACACACACACACACACACACACACACACACACACAAATTGCTGATATAGCATGCCTACCCATTAGCTACCCTTGATCAATAGTCTCAGATCCAGCAAGTAATGAGATATCAAATGGCTTTTGACAAATAATGACTCAGGCTACACTGAAGGTCAGTTCCTTTATCATGCATCTGTCAAGTGGTGTCAAACATAATTTATTAATCTGGTCCAGGAAGTAGCAACACGCTGGGTTTACAAGGTGATGAAAGTCACAAATCATAAGGAATTCTTGGCCATGGCAAAACAGGCCCTGCTGGCAGAGAGAATATATAACAACTATCAATCTTACTCCATGTTGCAGGAGCATAGCAGTTCACACAGTGTTACTAGGCAGTGGTACTCATCAGTGTGACTGCTCTTAAAAAACAATGAGTCAATAGAAGGCTTGTCATAGATAATTAAACTAGGCACTTGTTGTTAACTTTGATAATGCAAAATGAAGGAAACTAGTCACCGGTAGAGAATGCCAACATGATTTCAGACTAACTGCATAAAACCAGTTATTACTACGTACTGCCACTTCTAGTGAGTGTCAAAACACAATCGAGCTATTATAAGTCCAGTGTTGGGAAACAATGGCCAGTTTCCTGCTCAAAGAAGCCATGAGAGGAGACAAAAATATGCAGTTGCTATGTGGTGAACGATGTGGTCGAGTTCAGATCTGGATAATAACCTGGATTTTTTCTTGCATCATTTAAATCCTCAGTCTATAAATGGAATATCTGTACAGAGCACAGAAAGTATGCAGGATAATTTTTGGTAAGTCATGCACATAAATTATTAGTCATTCATACTTTCAGAGTACTAATTTGTGCACATGACTCGGGTCCCAACATGCTGGAGGTGCAAGCTCTCCAGGGTGCTGGTTTAGAGTACTGGCACTTTTATTATTCTCCTTCAAGCCCTAGATATAAGACTGTTTGTCAGCTTCATAAAACATAAATCTGAGAAGTCGCCCAACAGCATGTCATCCAGGTGAGGCAGCAGAGTCGCTACAAATAAAATGAACATCACTCCTACTTTCTAGTTGGGTGTAAGACTACATGGCTGCATTCCGATTCATTTCCACTAAATAAGTTTTACTTCTCATTAATTTGTACTTGATTTCTTTTTGGAAAAAGTGACATCTCTAGTTCACCTTCCATGGTATGCAGCTCTGACTGCTGAGAAAGAGGAAGAGGGGTTTCTCTTCACTGGCTCGCACTCCTGTTCCTGAGTGGGGCCAACAGCTGTTGGGTCTTCGTGGCTTAACTTCCTGCATCTCCTTTTCATTCAACAGTCCTCTACACCCTCCCAGCCTGACAATTAGTCATCAAATTCCTGAAAATAGTCTACAGATGCAGTATAAATCTATAACACAGTGCATTTCTGCAAAGACTAGATTATCTCTTTTAATTGGAAACTATTCAAACACTGTAGTCATTTTGTACCACTGCCAGAATGGAGAAAAAAAAACAAAAAACAAACAGTGAGTAGTGTGAAAAGATTTCCCTTGACCAAATGCAGGAAGCTGGAGTACCAGGTAATAGGAAACATTTTCTTTGTATGCATTTAAGCACTTTGTTTCCCCATCTGTTAAAGTAAGCAATTTAAATGACTATTCAAGACAACATCAAATGCAGATCTAATGACAGCTGAGTATTTCATGTACTCATCTCAAAGTTCAAGAAAGTTGAACACATCAGAGTGTGCTGTGGTTGTGGCCTCCAGAACAACTGAAATGAATTCAGTCATACTGTTCAAGCAGTTCATAAGTCATGTAGTACTACTGCTGAGCCCAAATTCTAATAACTACATTTTTTGGCATTGTTGCATAAAACACAGTGGTATTTTGTAACCTCACCACCATTGCAGAAGATATTTTTTACATGCAAACAATTACACAACCGCTTAGTACTAGAAGCATCTCTGCAACTGATATGAGCCTTGTGATTTGTGTACACAGGAAGTCAAAACACTTATGACTATCTGCTCCGGGGCCCTGTATCACTTTTCATTATCCAACACCTAAAAAGGAGCTAGAAAAATAAGGAAGTACAGCAGGCCTGAAATCAAGAGGGCCAGTAATCTCTCCCACTTATCAAAGAACCATTTAATCACAACAGATATTTATTTATTTACAGATGTTAATTGATAATCTAACAACATTTCAAGAAAGTTGCTCATTCAAAGGATCAGCTCAGCTGACATTGGACAAATTCCTGCTTTTCTTCACATCTTGAATTGAGGTCTGGCTCATTGTGTCAATCAGAAAACCCTGAAGCCAAGGATTCTGAGTACCAGTGAAGGGTCTTCATTAGACTGAACACATTTGACTCACAATGGTTTGTGATCATGCTACATTTAAAATACTAGAATCAGTCAGTGCACTCCTCAGATAGTTCAAGAAAGTCCTGAAAGCTCATCTGCTATTTCTTTGTCTGGCAATGGCAAGCAACCTGATGCAGCCATCAGAGTAGTCAGATTTTAAGTCATCCAAAATCTTGATAAACTGTGCTTAAGCTTCTGGCTCAAGAGATTTTGACCAGTACCCATGAAGAGGAAAGGCTGGGAAACATGTGGTTTTCTGGGCGACACAGAGTGAGGTAAATAGCTTTTATGTGACACAGTCCCATCCTGAGAATGTCTGGAGAAAGGCATTTCCTCAAAACTAATTTACTTCCCAGGCAGAGATTTACTTTAACAGGTTATGGTAAACTGAGTGACTTATAATAGGTGCAAAAACTGAGAACTCACAAATCGAGATTATGAAAACAATGAGCCATGAGTGGACAAAAATGGCAACACCTAGACTGTAAGTGATCTTGGAAAAAGCATTCCTGTTTCCTAAAATCATCCAATTACCATCAATAACAGAAAAGTCTCAAATTAAAGTCAAACAGGTTCTTTTTCCTCACTTGAGCTTTGCCATGTATGACTCACAGGACTGGTGAGACTAAAGCCAGAAGAAATTACATCTGATTCTTAACTTCCATGAACTCATAACGCAGTCTATATTGTAGTGTTGCTACAGCAACTGGCAATGATTACAAGCCTAGCATTCATGGCACTGCTGGAAACATCTGCTCACAACTCAGAATGTCCAGAGAGCCTGGTTAGTTGAGGCTGCATAGGAACTATTGATGTGACAGGACATCCTGACAAACTCTGTATTCGTAATCAGCAGCATGTTGCTCTATTTAAATGTGCATTATCTAAAATAGGAGATTTGACATCACATCATCCATCATCATAATTATAGCACATTCATCTGTAGTGATTGTTTGCAGTTATTACAAAAATATAATTAGGTAAGAAATTACTTCCATAGGTTCAGGTCCAAAGTTTTACTACATGGAACTAAAATAGTTTATGACAATGTTTATGAACAGTTTAGATATTAAAGTATCTTCACAAAACCTTGATATCACTGCAGTGAAGGAATTCGGTCAACATATAACTTCAAAAATAAACACCACAATTTCCTTAATGCCCCTCTGAGGAAGTCTGGTGGGTGTAAACATACAAGGATCACACACACTATAGTCTGAGACTGAATATTAAGCAAAAACAAAGGCAAAGAATGAAGTGAAATGACCTGAAATAGTTTTGGACCATAAAACCTCGTGCATAAATTGCAGGCAATGGTAAACAAAGCTTCTACACTAAGCATTCCTTTGCTGACAGGAGAGGCCAAGGCAAGTGCCCAAATTTATCACCCAACAACTGCCTGAGACTGAGTGTCTCTGACCAGGATGACAGAGGGAGTAACACACAGGAACCAAGAGTGCCTTATATAGCTCTTATCTCCTCTTTTCCTTAAATGCTGCAGTATCTCACAGTTCCTCATTGTTTCCTTTCTAAGAAACTTTCTATGTATTGGTGCTTTAGGCTCAAATTTAAGGAAATGATAGTTGCAATGCAGTTCTGATGAACACCAATGTGGTGATGATGGGTTTTTTTTTTATTCTAAAAATACATCAAATTACAGCTACAGCTGGTCAAGATGATGATTATCCTTTATTTAAAACCAGGTGAAGCTGAAATTAACATATTTTTTCAAAAATGACCTGGCAAAGAGGGCAGTAATTTAATGTTTCAGAAAGACAGTCTTCAAATACACAATTAATAGCTGGAAAGACTTTTTAATTGCTCTATGTGGATAGAAAAATGTCATGGATACCAACCAGACATGGTAATATACAAGCACCTGCATTAAGAGCAAGTTAAAACTATAGAACTGTATCTCTACCGTGGCAAGTATTCTCAAAAATCTTGTAGTTCTAGGCTATGGGTAAAAATACAAGTGATTAGTTTAGGTTCCTTTTAATTCATATTATGGGTTTCCTCAAAACATCTAACCAATTTTTGATGCTAGCAAGTCAAATCTGGAAAAGTTCTACAGACAAAGCTTACTACAGTAGTAGACAGTACTTCATACACACTACAAGTTTCTGCTATTGCAGTTTTCCAAATGTGTGACCCATCTAAATATAATAGGATCACAACTCTTAATAATGTATGTGACCTAATTAAGAACAGAAAAATATAGTTCTGATTCCAAATCAAATAACAAAATGCAGTACAACATGAGATCCACATGCAGAAAAATCATGTTGACATGTGAAGGCATGTGCAGCCTTGGTTTGACAGTGCTTCCTGTTCGTATTTCAATTTATTTCCTCACATTGGCAGAGCACTGACAGCTGACATATAATATTTATTACTTTGCATCAGTGTTCCATCGTTTTTCCAACGGTCTCTTGCAGCAGTAGCCTTCATAACTAGAGCTGTTTGGAAGTTTTGCTGTGCAAAAAAAAAAGTCCCACCTACTATAAACTAATGTTAGTGAAGTGAGATTGATCAAATCTAAACTCCTGTATTTGAGGTTCATTCATACTCATTTTCACATAAATGTTCAGAGGCAGTTAGTTAGTGCAGTTGATCTGTGGAGTGAACTGGGTCAAACGAAGAAGTAAATCTGTAGTCTGCTCCAGCACCTGGCTAGCAGCGGTGCCTACGTCAAGACATGGCAGTCGACTACAGAGGAGGTAGGGTATATTTTCAAGGGGAAAAGGGCGTCACTGCCCCAAACCAACTTCGATGAACTTCAACTGCATGCGTAATTCCTTTCTGGCATTAAACGCATAAGACTAGACAGCTACATTTTAGTCTTGGGAAGTGCTTCAACTTTCGTTGAGAATGGTGTTGGGCGAAGGGCGACATACGGTCTACAACACCTACCGCGTTCAGGCAGACTTTACCACGTAGGATTTTACAAATGGAAGAAAGTTACTCACCCGAACAAGGTTGCTGACCGCCGCTTGCACCGCAGCAACCGGCGCCGACAGATCTGGAATAGCTTTTCCATCAACTTCACCTTCTTCGTGCATTATCACCAGATGGGATATTTGCTGAGCCACCGGCTCCAGGATACTTTCTATCGTCTTCGTGTGAAAAACCGGCATGGCGAAAACTTTATATCGCTATCCAAGAGAAAAGCAAATAATTTCTTACCACCCAAGGCAGTTTTCTCCCAAACTCCTGCTACAAACGCCTAAAACAACCCCTGTAGCTTTTTTTTCCAGGTGGAGTCTCACTCTCCAGTATGTAGACTACAACTAAGGCCGCGAACATGAAGAACTCCCAGCTAGAGAGTAGGCGCGAGCAACCTTTGGGTCAACGAAGGCTGTCTACCCTCTGTCCAATCAGCGATGTGAGAAAGCTATTTCCCTGGCGTCTGATTGGTCGATCGGGCTGTCGCTCTGGTTCGGTCCCTGTCGATTCCAAACGGGTGAGTTTGCTAAAGATCGAAGTGCTCCCTAAATTACGCAATAGTTAGTCATGCCCTAAAAAGGGAAATATGTGTCTGCTGTTGTGAGGAGTACGCAGTCAAGACAAGCTCTTTTGGCACCTCCAGCAAAGGAATTGGAGCCGTGACTGATAGTTTTTAGGGAGGTCTGCAATCTGGTCTAACAGAATAGAACGAGATATCCCTAATAAAAGTCAAACTCCACATAGGCCCATAAATGATAATAATGAAATGTCCTTTCAGGCCTATTTTTGTTATCTACTCTTCAGGTATTATTGCTAGTTCTTTTTGAAAATATATACAAGTATCAGGGAGGCATTGCAACACTATCTTGTGGTGTAACCGTTCCACATAAAAAAGTGAATTCATTTGCTGCTTATTACAGACAACACTAACAGCATGCACAACTGTCTACAACCCCAGGACAAAATTTTTTCAAGAGTAGACCAAGTCAGCAAAGCAGTTTTAAAAGAAAATTCTTTCTTCGCCTCACCCTCACAACCTGAAATAACAACATTTGAGGACAGAAAAGCCAACAGCCAAGTAAACCAACTAAGGAATTCCCACAGAGTCCCAAGAGGGGCTGCAAGGCAGCAGCCCATTGCCTAAAAAGGAAGAGTCAAAATGAAAGAATCAAGGAAGTTACTCTGTTTCAGCTCTTATGTAAACATACAAGGGGCTGATATGCATACTTTTATATAAAAGGGTTATTATACCAAAAGTCAGTGAAAGATAATCACATTGAAGAGCTCTAGATTTTGTAATTATCTTGTCTATTTTCATCTGAGTTATAAAATAAAATAGTTCTAACATGTACCCAACTTATACTTTGATACTAAATAAATCAATAGGCACTGGCACTGAATATATTTCACCCTGCATCTGCCAAAAGTCAGATAAATTGACCACCTAGCAGAGTTTATCCTGAATATAGACATCAGAGATGTCCTGCTGCTTCCTCAGCTCTCTGGTTACTGACAAGGCCATCCCATGTGTCCATGCTGGAATGTGGGCAGGGCAGCTCAAAGACACCTTCCCCTCCTGTCCTATGCTCACTGATAAGATGAGGTTCCTACTGCATGGTTGTGGGATAATGCCCTAAAATAGCAGTGCAAACAAACAGAGTTGTATCTCTTACTGAATATGACAGTCTGCTCATACAATAACCAGGTTTTTAATGTAAAGGTCTTCATCACATCCTATTTATTTGTGTCTGCTTTTCTTGACCCCCGTTTTATTTTATTTTTTTTGTCTCCACCTAGAACGAGCAGTGGGTGCCATCCTCTGGGTGAAAGATGTAAATGCAGTCAGTGGAATGGAAATGCTGAACCATTTAAAACTACAGTGGGTACGGAAAGTATTCAGACCCCCTTAAATTTTTCACTCTTTATATTGCAGCCATATGCTAAAATCATTTAAGTTCATTTTTTTCCTCATTAATGTACACACAGCACCCCATATTGACAGAAAAACACAGAATTTTTGACATTTTTGCAGATTTATTAAAAAAGAAAAACTGAAATATCACATGGTCATAAGTATTCAGACCCTTTGCTCAGTATTTAGTAGAAGCACCCTTTTGAGCTAATACAGCCATGAGTCTTTTTGGGAATGATGCAACAAGTTCACACCTGCATTTGGGGATCCTCTGCCATTCCTCCTTGCAGATCCTCTCCAGTTCTGTAAGGTTGGATGGTAAACGTTGGTGGACAGCCATTTTCAGGTCTCTCCAGAGATGCTCAATTGGGTTTAAGTCAGGGCTCTGGCTGGGCCATTCAAGAACAGTCACGGAGTTGTTGTGAAGCCACTCCGTTATTTTAGCTGTGTGCTTAGGGTCATTGTCTTGTTGGAAGGTGAACCTTCGGCCCAGTCTGAGGTCCTGAGCACTCTGG